CGAGACGCGTGTCTCTCACTCCACAACAACTCGGGAAAATAATCAGCCGGGAAAGAGGAAACAAGAGTTACGCGCTGATAACATCCGCCGCGATTGATTCTCGAAAAAAAGTGCACCGTGAGATTCCACGTGTAAACGCGAACAATGAATAACGAGCAATTGCATTCGACGCGATCCGTATAAGAATCCGCGGTACAACAATCGCGAACAGACAGATCGTCCGCTTTTTCCTTTTATGAGTTTAGGAACGTCCAGTACGTCTTGCGCGTTGGAAGAATTCTTCCATCGGACAAGACGGATACGTTTCTAAACTCACACAGAAAAGACGGACAATCTATCTGCCCGCGACTGTACACACATAAAAAAATATCTTTGTGCTGCTAACAACAGCGATTGCTTAGTTTATTTCCCTTCTTTTAAGTAATAGTTATCTTCCAAGAGTGAATATTTCGACGACAACACGACGTTTTAAAGTTAACTAGTTTTCTACACCAAGAAAAAAAATATTTAAATATAATAATAATAAATAATACAATAATAAAAAATATTTATTCGATGGGTATTAATAATATATTTGCTTATAAATTTTTTTTTCAGATAAAAAATATACCTTTCATGAAAAAATAATTATTTATTTTACTTAAGTGAAAGAATTTAGATTTAAAAATAAATACATTATTAGTACATACCGAATAAACATTGGTTATTTTTTAGCTATTTCTTCTCTCAGTGTACTCATCATATATTTGAACGAAGCTCATTATCATGCACTTGCGAAAGAAGAATACATTCTTTTTACAAGAATATTATAAAAGATTTTATCGAAGAAAGAGCTGGCTTGACTCTATATAGATAAACAAACCGAATTTTTGTTTTCATGTTTCTATAGAATATATTCTCGATTGAAGCGCTAATCTTACTAGAATACAGAATATATTTGGAGTAAATTTAATTAATGTGTATGATGAACCTATGATCGATCTGAGGATACATAAACTTATGAAATACTTCGAGCAAGTAACATCCACTTGAACGCGGTATATACTTTTCTGTGTGTGTACACTGAGAAAATTGTTGGCTATTCGCGAAGGGAATCGAAATAATTCCTGAGAAAAATCTCAAGAATTATTAATTTCAGAAGAAATGTGTGTGAACGAGCTCGAGGCGAGGCTGGCGGTTCGCCACGTGAAATTGCGCTGCGAAAAATGCGCCCTTATTCGCGGCATTCTCTTTCTAAATTTTCCAGAGAAACTGACTGACTTCGGCGACGCATCGTCGTCATGTATTCCAGGGGAGGCGCCGTTTCAGCCAATTTACGAGAAACTAACAACGAGATTGTGTCGTAACTCGCATGATAAAAGCGTCTGATAACGAATACAAAAGGTCACGATGCGCTCCGCAAAAAGATGCGCATTTGCACGCGCATACGGATCGCAATTGCAATAAACATCGATTGTTTTCGCGAGGAAATTATCTCATACCGCGCGCTCAAAATGTCTCGTTGCGATTCGCGCTTGCCATATCTCGTCATGAAGGAATCTCGGCTATTTATAAAGAGAATGCTCGCATTTTTTTATCATCTTTATGCAGAACGGTGGCGACGTCTCTCTTTCTCTCTCTCTCTCTCTCTCTCTCTCTCGACAAAGATAATAACCGGTGCGATATAAATGCAGACTGCAATTCCCTCCGACGCCGGCGGGGATATATGATTCGTGTATTAGATTGGAGAGTTACGAAGGGGCTCGGGGGTTATAAATAATTACCTAAAAACAGGACGGAGATCAATACGAACCAAATGCAGACGACAGTGCGAATGGTTTCCGAGTATATGCGCCACTGAAAGTATCTCGCTCCGCGAATGAAAATGGACGTTTCGATCTGCCGTTTGCAAGAGTGTCGAATCGCCCGCGATCTCACGGAAATATCCAAATGTAGATTTAAAGGCTGCCGGTGTTTTCGCACCGTTCCTCGTTCCGTTTCATGTCGTGTTGTGTCGTTCATATTGTTTCTCTATGTTTCTATATCCTGTTACGATTCCCTCTCTCCAATCGAATAACGCGTTTCACGAGTTCTCCTTGCAAAAATAATCCGTTTCTGATCGATGCTACTGCCGTCGCGAACAAATTTCAAATCGAGGCACTGTTGCGCGCGAAATCAATTGCTCGTTTTAGAAGTGACCTGACACCGTTCGACCGAGTCGAAATTTCAGCCCTACTTTCCACCTGAACTTTCTAACGTCTGTATATTCTGAAGGATCGGTGTAACACACATGGAGACTTAGATCCTACTCTCAGCGCTTCTAAATGGCAGAAAAACGCACTTGAAAAATGGCAGAAAAATGCCACTTGTAAGTCCCAAAAAGAATTTCTCGACAGTCAGTACGTTAAATAGAACAGAGGTTGATATGAATATCAAAGTAGACGTTAAATGGAATATTGAGATCGAAAGTGGAATCCAAACTTCGATTCGGACAGCTTTGAAACATTTTTCGAGTAAACCACGAAATGAGGAAATTTTATGCGAGACGCGGCTGATAACGATTTCGATGATTTTTTGTATAATGATTGTATCTATTATCTATCAGATAAATGATCCGAAGGATGAAGTGTCGTCCAACAATGTAATAATGATAATGACATATTTTTGATATATGATAATAACTGTTACGAGAGAAATGAGTTAATAATAACCAGTGACTACCAAGGAAATCCGTTGGTAACGTAGCCCGAGTTTTACGCCCATACTTGCTTTCCACGAATGCCGGTTAATGAGTCATCGAGTCGGTTAACGTGATACTCGATGCGTGTCATACATTCTTCGTCAGTTGGAGAACCAGACGAATTAATTGGGAATCAAAGGGAGAAACGAGAGAGAAAAGTCAGCCGAGCGACCTCCCGCCTTTATTACCACTATTATTATTGCACACCGTTATCGTTGCACACGACTGAAAGTCGCACAATAAAATTTCACTTCGCTCAAGAAAACAGCTCGACGCTCTCTTTTCGTTTCAAGAATTATATATCCGAAAATAAGGATTAATAGCCGTTACACGAAACTCCTCGGGAAAGTGAATTGGCAGATTTGAGTTCAGTGTTGAATTTTTCAGTTGAATCACGATTACAAGTATAGATCCATATTAATAGTCACTACTTCAAACTCGTCTCAAGTGAGATATTCAGATTTCAGTTCAGAGTTAGATAAGAGTTTTTCCAATTGAATCGTGGTTACTGATATAAATGTTATTAATACTGACATAAAATGCTATTAATACGGGCCATGATATCACATATATCATAGAGTTCTGAAAAATTTGGATCTCAAATTCTGACAAAATTTGAGTCTCACATAAGACGAGTTCCCAAAATGAAAAGATCTCCAAAATGTGACAATGACGATACATAAACAGAAAACATTAAATTCTAATTTAGGGTATCAAGTGAGACATAGAACAAAAGACAGAGGAACGTTCAAACGACAAGCTGACGATCGAACATGTCCTAAACGTAATTCTGTCTAATTCTTGAATTAAAAATCCCTCATAATTCTCGTTAACGCCAATTTTGACCCGTCTTTCAACCGTCTCGATAACGTCTCATCGATATTTCTGTCTGATGAACGCTAATTTCCTGAAAGTCACACACCTGGAGTGTCGGCGCTCGACGTCGCGGTCGGTTTCTCTTTTCCGCATGACTCAGAGAATGATCTCCGATGGAACGCGAAATAAATCGCGCTCAGCCGCGACGAGAGAGTATTGTTTATGCGACAATGATATCACTGACAAGTCGGATCCGTGACAACGATAACGCTACTGTTATCAATCACGAATACGCGTGTACATATTCGCATAGATCGCTTTGTCGCGAGACTCGCGCGAAGCCGGCACAATAACACATCGAAAATTCGATAAAAAAGTAATGGGAAACATGACGAATTACGCGACGAATTCCGCCGTATTGTCGGGCGTGCTATCGTGTAACAACGTCACGTTGACGTACATTAACCCATCCGTTACGCGACATTTGTTTCACCTTGGCTAATATTTATCGCCCGAATTCATTCATGCGCACCAGCAATCACAACGGACGCGACTTTTTCTCCGCTCGTACTTGTTGACATTTCTACGATTACGTCTCGCGTATCATTGACAGCGTCGCTACGAAAATTCCATGGTGACATGTCGTCTCGGAAGCATATCGCGAGAGAAAGAGAATGAGAAATTATGTCGCCAAAGATCTCGATAATCAATCAAACGAAGCTTATACCGATCGTCGCGTTGTCGCTGTCGCAAACCCAACACGGAGATCATCCTCACGGATTTGATATACTAAAGATCGTTGAGACGACTCTTAAATCTCGCCTCAGCGAGTCGGGCAGCGTCGCCGTGGGGCACGGCAACGAGGGCATTCTCCATTCATCAGCGACTCGCCAATAAGTGACAAGGTCGGCCATGGTCGCCATGAGTCCGGGCGCGATACACCGGCTCGGCTGGTGTACGCCGTGTCGGCGTCGCGAGATCGCCGATGACAGGGACTGCCGTCGTGCGTGGCCACGAACACCTGTCAGCTCGGAGCGGAGTCGAGGCGAGACGAGGCGAGCGAGTTGGCGAGCTTGCGAACGACCGGGCGCGCCTGTCATCGTCGAGGCACGCCGGCTGGCGATTCGGTTACGCCTTCTCGACGACGAGCCGGGAAGCGCGGCGATGCCCTTTCGCTCGGCGGCTCCGACCCGAGTCGCCGACGACGAGGAGGAGAAGCGCGGATACACGCACGACGGCAGACGGCAGACGTGCGTGAGTCGTGCAAGTCGTACACGCGTGATAACGCTGGCCTGCGGGTTACGCGTGCACGACGAGCACGGACGCACGTCCGGCCGAGGAAGCGGAGGGGCTCGCCGTGGCTCGCCTCGACTCCGCTCTCGGCTGTCGCACGGTCTACGTGTGTCGTATACGGACGGCTGAGAGCGGCTCCGCCGAGAAAGAATGACACAGGTGCTCTACTCACCGCGACGAGGGCTGCTAATCTATCCTTGGTCATGGTGAAGGATGACGAGGAGTTGTGAGTCAGCGGGCGGTGTACGGAGCGGCGGGTCTAGCGGGTAATCCCATTCACGGTTTTATCCATGTACGACGTGCACGGCCACTAAAAAACTAAAGGAAACGGACGCACTAGTACCGCGAGAGGCACGATCGTAAAATCGATATACTCGCGAACTCGCCTGCTTCTGCAGTGCCGTCCGACGCGACGCGCACGCGCCGATGACGTCAACTTCGCGCAGGAACGGCGGCGCGCGCCGTGGAGCCCCGCGAGGTTGCCGCCGCCTGGCGGTGCGGCGTCGAGGCAGGGACGTGACGAGAGATCTCCCGCGCCCGCGGACGATCTCCCGTCACGTTCGCCTCTGTTACCGGCGGATTCCGATCTTGTGCTTCTACACGCCGCCTTAACGAGCATCATTCCCGTGATCATGAGAATCAGTCGTCGTTACGAAATGTTGTTACGAAATGTCGTTACGACGAGCAAGTATTATGAGCTCTCTTAAGTTTCAAACAATGACGCAAATAATATTTTATATACTTCATAGTATTTTATATATTACATATACATATATACACATTTTTTAAAATAAAGACATGGGATTAGTCGCTATTCATAACGTATTTTATGTGTTTGCTCACACAACACAATGTCCAAAATCGGAACATGAGACGTCTTATGTTCTGACATCTGAAAGACTACTTAAAGTTGACTTATGTCCCGATTTTGGACATCATATTGCGTGGGTGAGTTTCATATATGCTCGTTGACATTATAAATCCGCTTACAATCGCTCGCGAGAACTGTAGTACACTACGCGTGTAGTGTGACTTGAATATCGAAATTCGAGTGAAAAGGACGCTACCGAGGATGACGCTACCGAGGATGACGCAATTTCTGTGCGCTACTGACAGTTGGCCGTATTGTCCGATATCTCACGCGGATTAATCTTCGTACGTTTCATATTAGACGGATCGTATTAGTCGGACGTTGATAGAAACGAGCTTTGGATCCAACTTGGGTAAGAATAATATCACGAGTGCTTTGATCGAATAGAACACTTGATTCCCGCATCGAGTCACATATTACATATGATAAAAATGCAATAAGCAGGCAATGACACGGTGACGAGCGGAATTATGGCTAACGACGCCGACGGCTTAACGATACTTCAATTAATGATAAATGCTCACCATAGCGAGTGATCCGTTCCCAAAACGCCGCGTCGAGTTAGCTGCATGGAATCCCGAGTACAGAATCCACCTACTTCTGAATGTTCCTCACTCGGAACGGCTAATCGTTCCCGAAGGAGATCCGAGTCTCCGCACGGTGCCATCGACGGGAGCAAAATGGACGTTCGATTTACCGCGTCAATTTTAAGAGCGCGAACTGTTGGCGCTACTTGGGCAAATGGCGCCATCGCGTGGCCGTTCCAAGAGACACGTGACGCTCGCGCGCTGCATGTACCGACGTCGAGTGTCGCGCCGGCCGATGACGCTACTGATCGCCGAATCCGGTTATTATGCACTTTCCGACGACGAATTTCCTGATTATCGAGAGTCCCCGCTTGTCGTACGAGAGAATACCGTGCCGTATTCCGCCGAAAAAGACACGCGAAAAATCGAGGGGAATTTTTTCAGGTGTCCCGGGACAGCCTATCGCGCAACCTTGTGGCGCTTCGGATCGACGAATGACGAGGTCGCTCGCCTCCACTCGTCCGCCCAGAGGAACGCCATTGTGAGCCATAACGACTGTGCCGCACGGTGAGTTTTATCGGTCATTTTCACGTACATCGCCGGCTACCCGGGAAATTTTGTACCGCGTCGCCTGGCACGCAGCGGAACGCCGGAGAGCTTACGGTAATTACGCGCGCAGGGTGACTCGCGCCGGGATTCAGTCGCCGTTGTGCACGAGGCCGCCGCGAAAATCCCGCATTACGCTCGAAGCCCGGCGGGCGCCATTCCCCCGCCGAAGCCACCAACGGTGAATTCCGATTCACGGCGTGCAAACGCGCGGCAACGTGCTCCGACCGGCTTTTCCCTCCGATTTTCTGCGCGCCGACTTGTGCCCCATCGTCGAGCATCATCACCGTGAGCATTACTCGAGTACATGTATCTTGCTTGTTCCTCGATCATGTTTCGCACGCGTGATCGCTGATCTACGGGATTTTCCTTCGGACACGTTGTCCGGCGAACGTTCTCGTTCACGCGCTCGCGATTCCTCCTGCCTCTTCTCCGTCGTTGACAGAACGCTGTCCGTGTCTCGAGCGTTCAACGCGCGCCTTTGCGAGTAGAATTCACGTGGCGTTGGAACGTGTACGTTTATAGGCTTTGCGACCACGAGGTTGCGTGAGAAATTCGTGGCGCGTGCACGTGTGTCTCGTTCGATCCCGTCGGGAATCTCATCCGCGGTCGTTTTTCTCGTTGCAGAATCGTGCTTGTAACCAAGTAAATCGGCTGTATCGCAAAATCATCAATCGTCAAGATGGCACAAGAAAATGATATGCCCACCTTCAAGTGCGTGTTGGTCGGCGACGGCGGCACCGGGAAAACGACCTTTGTCAAGCGGCATTTGACCGGCGAGTTCGAGAAGAAGTATGTCGCCACCCTGGGTGTTGAAGTGCATCCATTGATCTTTCACACCAATCGCGGACCGATTCGTTTTAACGTCTGGGATACAGCCGGTCAGGAGAAGTTTGGTGGTCTTCGAGATGGCTATTACATCCAGGGACAATGTGCCGTGATCATGTTTGACGTTACATCCAGAGTAACGTATAAAAATGTGCCCAATTGGCACAGGGATTTAGTACGCGTCTGTGAAAATATACCAATTGTCCTCTGCGGCAACAAAGTTGATATTAAAGACAGGAAAGTAAAGGCAAAGAGTATTGTATTTCACAGGAAGAAGAATCTACAGGTGTTTATGCAGCAATATTTTAAACCACAGCTCTCTTTCTCTCTCCTTTTTTCTTGCTTTCTCTTCTTTTTTCTTGCTTTCTTTTCTTTTTTCTTGCTTTCTTTCTCTCTATCTCCTTTTTTTTTGCTTTCTTTCTCTTTTTCTTTCTATCTCTTTTGTCTTCTGAATATCACATCTTTATATGCTCCTCTGCAATCTTCTCATGATGAATCAATGATCTTATGTAAAATGAAGACATTATATTGTCCCTCTAATCTGAATTGTCCTGGTTATAATTTATAAAGTGTGCACAGAAAGATTTCAGAGAAAGCTGATCACTTTGTTATGTTGCAGTACTACGATATAAGTGCGAAGAGTAATTACAACTTTGAAAAACCTTTCCTGTGGCTGGCACGCAAATTGATCGGAGATCCAAATCTGGAGTTTGTCGCCATGCCCGCTCTGCTGCCACCAGAGGTCACTATGGATCCACAGTGGCAGCAACAGATTGAGAAAGATCTTAAGGAAGCTCAGGAGACGGCATTACCTGAAGACGACGAAGATCTTTAGTTTATTTAACGTTTATCTAACTCGGGTGGCCTTTACGGAGGTAAGGCCTACGCGAGTGCCCATGGTTATATCGCGTGCACTCGTACATCTTCTCATAGAGGTCGAAGAGTTTTTTCCTTAAGGAACATAACATTTGTATACAATACTGAGTTCCAGTGCTTCGATCTTGTACAATATACAGCACGCCTTATACATCAAGTCCCATTTTCTTATGTGCCCTTTCATTTTCTTATCCAAGTGTTTCTTTTTTTTTTTACACGTCATCCACGTAAACAATCTAATCGGAAAATATGAAAAAATTGTCTCTACTGTTTCCCGTTACATTGTGTGTCCTAGTGTATTTGTAATTTATGTTTCTAAAATTTGTGTCTCGTAATATAAATCGCGAGATTATTCACGAGTTCGTATTAATTGTTTCATATACAATTTGTAAATTTGTATGATTACATTACTCCTAATGTTCTCAGTTTTGCGCCAATTTTCGGATTCAGAATCCAAGTATATTCAAGTACAAGTTCGTACACACGATCACACACGCGTATGTGTATACCGTATTATAATGCATCCACTTTCAGGACTATGCGATACTCTGTAAATTCACAGAAATTATTCTCGTGTTCAGCGTGTTTATATAAATCTAAATTATATAAAAATTCTTTTCTATATAAGAGAGGATCCGTTTCGTTAGGTGCACGTGAAACCGTTATCTCTCCTTTTTAAATCCTCCCTCAAACTTATCCCATGATGGAAAGTGTCGCGTCACGTGTAAATTGCACCGATGAATTTTTAGCGTGGGGAAAAAATTAGAAGTGATACACTGCAACATGTAAATTCGACTTACGGCGTTTCATTATTCTGCTTAGAGTAGATTTTATTTAAAATTCATCCATATATATATCCATATATATCTATGTGAAAAAAAAAAAATATATATATATATATATGGATGTATGTACGGGTATACAGTGTAATGGGATCGTATATCGTTACATATAATTGCTAAATAATTCGATTCGTGTGTTAATCGTTAGTGTAATCACGCGCGGTTTATTACACATTACTAACGTTTATTTAAGAATTTACTCGTACAATGTATCAATGTAGTTGCATACAAACTGAAGGAAAGAATGGAGGTGATTAATAAACACGCCTTTATAATACATCTGATTTTCAATAATGATGCAAGCTCTACACCTTTCTCTTTGAACAAATAAAATTATGGGAACTATGACGCGCGATATATAGCTGCGTCCTTAAATACATAATGATCTGCGCATTGGTCGCACGCTTTTCGCGCGCTCGTTAAGCTGGTTTTCTTTTTAAAGTAATGTGACATTTTGGTAGACATCCATTTAATAAAATACAATCGCGACTCGGTAATTTGGATCTTTTACATACTGTTTTCTCCCAATACAATACTTATGTTTTTTTTATTTTTCATCGGGTAACAAATAGTTTTTAAACTCTAATCTATTGCTTTTGTTTTTGTTTCTCCTTCTTTTCCCTCTGCTTCTTACTCTCGAGAAGGCTCGTTCGTTCTTCATCCGAAAGCCTCTTCAAGGTGTTGGTAATCACACCAGTACCTAAAGTCAACGTTCCGTCTCGCAGCGTGAAACGCTGACCTTTCTCGCATACCATTGGCTTCAGCAGCTTCAGTTCCAATCTACAAGAGAAGAAAGGGACACGAGTGTAACATGTCGTAGTCGGTGAAACGAAAGAAAAACGGATAAATCGAATGTCTTACGTGCAATCCTCTCCCGGCATGGCCATCTCTTTACCGCCTATTATCGTGCATTGCGCCGCAATGTCCCACGTTTTGCTGAACATTTGCATTTGTATTAAATTCGCGATGGGTTTCTTCCTACCTCCTTCCTCTTTACTCAACAGATATATTTGCGCCTCCAAGTGATCGTGCACCTTCAAAGTGCCGGGTTTACCCATTATCATGCCTCTCCTGATATCATCCCTCTTTACACCTCTCACCAGGGCGCCCAATTGATCTCCGGCGTGTGCTTCCTCCAATATCTGGTGGAACATCTCTACACCCGTGATCACACTTTTGTACGACTTGTTGTAACCATGAAACTCGCAATCCATTCCCTTTTTTATCTTTCCGCGCTCTAGTCTACCAGTGACCACGGTGCCACGTCCAGGGATGGAATAAACATTCTCTACAGGCATCAAGAAAGGTTTGTCCAAGTCTCGCTCTGGAGTCGGGATATAACTGTCCACTTTGTCTAATAGCTGCATAATCGCCTGTGAGCCGATTTCAGGATTCTTTCCCTCAAGCGCACAAAGCGCGCTGCCTTTCAATATAGGAATGTTATCACCGTCGTAACCCATTTCGGAAAGCAACTCTCGTATTTCGATCTCTACCAATTCTACCATTTCCGCATCAGCAGCATCAACCTTGGGAATATTAAGATATGTATAATTTCAATACTGTTTCAAAATAAGACACTTAAAACTCCTGCTGGATCTTCGCTGCTGAACTCTTAATTGATGAGACGAGAAAATATACGATAAAAATTCTTGCAAAATACGTTAAAGTAAAAAATTATACCCATAAAATGATTTGTAATCTATTGGACACATATCTAAAATAGTCCAAACACTCTTTTTTTGCTTTAACAATCAACAAGTTATCGTAAAATTAACGCGACCTATTTTTGTAATTTATATTTTCTCATGATTTTGTCACGTTAATTTTAGTTATTTATTCATTGTTAGAACAAAAGAAAAATGTCTCGACTATTTTACACATTTGCTCGATTAATTGCAAGAGTCATTTTGTGAATATATATTTTTATCTCTACGTAGTTCGCGAAATTTTTAGTATGCATTTCCTTGCTCCTCTGGCGTCATAAATCAAGATGGTTGCGGCGAGAATGTAGGAGCCTTAATAAGATATATATCGCGTATGTCGTACCTTGTTAATAAAAACAATGATGTGCGAGATACCGATCTGTTTAGCCAGGAGCAAGTGTTCTCTGGTCTGTGGCATGGTGCCGTCGGTCGCAGCAACAACCAGAATAGCGCCGTCCATTTGTGCCGTTCCTGTGATCATGTTTTTGATATAATCAGCATGACCTGGGCAGTCTGTGTGCCCATAATGACGATTTTCCGTCTGGTATTCGATGTGTGCGACATTAATAGTGATACCACGAGCTTTTTCTTCAGGAGCATTGTCTATCTCACTGTATTGTTTTGCTGTTGCGAGTTCCTTCTCTGCCAATACTATTTGCAACAACAATCTGTGATTATTACAATTTTTTTTTGCTTATAACTACAGATAACTAATTATACTCTAAACAAAACTGACATATACCTTTAGTAATAGCCGCTGTCAGTGTTGTTTTGCCATGATCTACATGCCCAATAGTACCTACGTTACAATGTGGTTTGACTCGGGAGAATACCTTCTTTTCTGCATAAAATCTTTGGCTACTGACATTCGGCAGGAATATCTGACTGGTCAATTGATAGCTTTGCTAAAAATATAATAACAATGTTCAATTGACTAGCAATATAATGTTTCCATATATCAAATATTAATGTATAAATAATGAGTCATATTATGTAAGAAAAAAATTGAGATATATAAGCCCTTATTCTGAATTTTTTTCATCAATAAAGATGTTTCTAAAAATAGTTTATACACCTTCTGATTGTCACTTTTAAAGATACTTTTATTGCTAAGATTGATAATATGGGACTATATATAGATGAATATATGTAGATATAAAACAATACAAATTATTGAAGTTTTATAAGTGTTCTACACATACACTTGCATGTATACATTAACATTTATTAACGATTTTCAACCATGTGGACATGGTGAAACAGAAAATTGCAACAACCCAAGTGATATAAGTGTTGAAGTATATAAAGCATATGAGTCATCTGATAAAATAGTGGTGAACATTTGCAAAGAAGTGTTTTTGCAAATAAACATCTATTTAGGTAGTTTTACGCAACTATGCTCATTGATTATACCTCCAACTACGAACTTTAGATTGTTAATGGTGAATGAAGACTTACGTATTTCGGCAGTTGTCTTGTGAAGACAATCTGCTTCAAAGTTTGCTTTAGTACTAAAACAGAAGAGAAGCAGATTTACATGAGGAAAATAATGAAATATTTCGTCCAAGCGTTCAATTTTTATTCTTGCGAGAGAAATTCGTTCGATAATCGACTGAAAGGAATCTTGCCGGTAAGACGAAATGAAAGACGAACAAGAGGTTAGCTAAGTAATTAATTGCGACTGTTAGTGTAAACACGTTTCGTATCTTACGTGATCTTACCAGAATTAAGAGTCATTTTAGCAGAAACAATCGCCATGATTCTTAGTGAATATGGCTAAGCTAAATTTCTCGATTTAACCTACGAGAATACAACGAGCAATGACGAACGAGTTGCTAGAGATGAGCACTGTTATGTAGAATATGATCGTTTAATTCCTCTTCTTTTTAAAGGGTCGATTCATTTCTCAGTACTTCCAAATTAGATCCTCTTTGAATTTTCATCTTTCTGTAATGCAATTCATCGTTAAGACGGAAGAACGTTAATTCCTAATTGATAAAGAAAAATAAAAAATGCTTTCGACCCGCTATTTGATCGTGCCATTGAAGAGCAAAAGTTTACTTAATTTATCGTTGACACGTACTATTGATAAATAAAAGATCCTGTTATTTACCAATTAAGCCCGATTGCATCAACGTTATTTTGGTTTTAAGCGAGACTTAAATATACGTCTATTTTTATTTACTTAGAAAGAAAGATAAATACATAAAGATAGATACATGTTTAAGTTTCACTTAAAGCCAAAATAATGTTGGTGCAACCAGGCCTTAGTTATATTTTTTAAAAGGTTCTTTGACTTGTTCTCAAAAATAAAAAAAACATTTAATCTGTCATTGAGTTGTATTATTCGAAGATAAAAGAGTCATTTGACTTGTGATCGAGTCATACTACGACTTTGATCTGCAAAGTCCAGAAAAAAACAGTGTTATAAAAAGCCATTTTATTGGTCATAAATTATCTAAGATATCTTCTGAGATAACAAGTAGCTAATAAAATAGCTTTATTGAGCCGGTTGTTCCAACTTCTTGGTAAGTTAACTAATAGTTAAATCATATGATTGCTTTTCCTTCAATGTAGACAAAAACAGACATGATTAACTATATAGTTAATTATTTTTAAGATTTGAACCAGAGAGAAATATGAGAGCGACCACCTGATTTCAATGGCCACAGCTAGGCGCATTTTCGAGACGCCATCTAACAAAGTGCGCCTTTACTACGTTCGTTAGGCGCATTTTCGCGGTGGTAAAGATAAAATGCGTCTGGTTCGTATCCGTTGTACTTCTGTACAATGATAGTAATTAATAATTTAGTAATTTAGTATCAAATAGTTACACACGACAGCAAGACGAAGTAAGGAAATCGACGTAACGGCACGCTCCAGTTGCTTCCCAATACGCAATAAAAATAATTAAATGACAACCGAATAAAGAAATAATAATACTCGTATAATAAATGGATGATGATAATATTTGGTCGGCATTGAGGAACTCGATCGCGATGTTTATCTAATAAATAAAAAAGTAAATGAAACGCGGTAATTATCTGTCGCGGTAAAACCCGCAACACCTGCTCGCGTGAGGAGAACGCAGCTTATGAATACCTGTCCTAGTCGGGTCTTATATTTCAGACTATCTTAAGTTCATCTTTAGATACTCCATAGCCAATGAAATGCTCCGTACATCATCTGAAGATAAACTTAAGACGGCTTAAATATAAGATCTGATTATGAATACCGGCCTTTATGTCTTTGGCAAAGACTCAAACTCAATTGTGCGAACGATCTCCACACAACGCCGTTAGATGGCGCCAGGTCATCGTTTAGTCGTGTTTTACGCATATGTACTCCAATTGAGATAAAACTTGGCATTCCTTACTGATTCATGATCGTGTCTGTTGGATGCTCTACATCTTTCAATTGTGTAAGTTCTTTTAAAGTTATCTTATTGAATTTGGCTTTGATACAATAATGAGAGAGAATAAATTTACAAGTTTAGCGGGAATCGGAAGTGTTATTCGAAAGTGTAGTTCCAGAGCTCCCGCTACGAGTCGTTAATGTTCCATCTTCAAATTGAGGCAGTAACAGCAGCTCAACAGCACGCTGGGAGAATCATCACGTAAATTGTACGATTCAACGGCGATTCAGAAGAGCTTTTTACCCCCAAGTACTGCGATTCCATGACGAAGCAAATGATTATCTCCTTTGGGAATGATGTGGCTGAACTGTAAGTCAAAGAGGTCTTTATTTTCAAGTAATACTATACTATACTATTGCCGCCCGTCTCGGTGCGTACTAACGGCGCGCGTTGCGCCGAAACATAACCAATATCGCGATCTCCGACAACACTTAGCGCGTAGCGCGTGAAAGATTTAAATTTTTCAGCGACTTTTTAAAGGAGGATCTACCGAAATTTAAAGACACAACATTGGCATAGCCGTTACGTGAATTCTCAGCGATGAACGAATCAACAGAGATCAGTACACGAATCTCGCTCGTGGGAATCTCAATGCAAATAGTTACGTCGTAAGGAGTAGCTTGCGCAGCATTATTAATCGGCAGGGTTAATTAGGTTCGCGAGAATAACGAGACATGCAGGCATAACATTATCGTCATTATGCCACATCCCGCTGATACTCGCACGGATAACAACATGTAACCGAATGTTTCGCCGAGAACAGATAAATGAAGCCAGATATCAAATTGTGTTCATCGTGCTACTTCCCTCGCCCTTCCTCTGATCGCCATGTTGCACGCACACCAAATTATCAACAAAAGGATTTTACCTCAGTTCTCGATGCCATGCCTCTTGCTAACTGTTAAAGTCAATAAGTTGCGAGAATGCGAGAGATTGGCATCGCGAAAGTCAATTTTTGTAAAATTGAAAAATCACGACTTCCCAAGTTGGTTTCTCATTTTTCGAGAGCTGTTAGTTGTCTCCGTTGACCGATTTCTCGTCTGATAAATTTTTTCAATTATTAGGAAACAATTATAATGATACTCACACAAATCAGTGGTCACTGATCATCGCGCATTTTTTTCAGGTCACTCGAATGGTCTCGATGGTCACTTGAAACTTTGCACGCAAGGTATTCGATAATATCGGAGAAAAACGCCGACGGCGATGACGATGACGATGTTGAGGAAACGGTAGGAGAAGGATGATGAAGGAGTCGAATGAGAATGTCAGAGAGAGAGGTATGTGAAGACCCCAAAAGGGGGAAGCTCTATACAAGCCGTTATTACAATATCTGACTGCACCGGCGTTATTATTTGATTATTTGCGATTCTCTTTTTCGGGCTGTGTTCTCATCGCCTGTCGGCTCTTGTGATTACGGCAATATTATGTATGGCCGGGTTGTCCGACCCGTACGGAGAGAGAGAGCGAGAGAGAGAGAGAGAGAGAGAGAGAGAGAACAGCGCCTCGGATGCGCTTAATAAAATATCCGAGCGTCTCGCGCTCTTTTTGATCTGCGAGTTCATCATCGATCTTAAGTAGATTTCCTCTTGCAAATTGAAATACTGCAGCACCAATGATGCTGTGATTAAAAATGATTGAAAATCAAAGACTCAAAGAAATTCCAATTTGATAGCACGTGCTCAAGACTAGAATGCGCTTTATTTATTAATTTTTACATTTAACATTTATGGAAACATTCGAGTTTAGGAGAACACTGAGTTTCTTTCTGGGACATTAAGGTCAATGTTGATAGTCATTACTTGAGACTTCTTTCAAGTGAAATATCTAGATCTGAGTTCAAAGTTAAATGAGAGTTTTTCATTTGAATCGCGATTGCAGATATGATGTCACATGTATCATATAATTCAATTAAAAAACCTGGATCTAATTCTGAGTGAAAATCTAAGTATCTCGCGTGAGACAATCTTCAAATACGTCTATTGACATAAGGCCTATAAGAAATTCGATTTTTTAGAAATTTAACTTTTTCCACGTATTTAGTGAGAACGAGTCGAGCGAACTTTTTCGCTTCGCGCGATTTGCGTCGCGGCGAGTTAGAGTCGAGAATCTATTTCATTAATTGTAAATACGGGGCACAAAGAGCTCTGCGCGTACGGTAATAGGCAGTAAAAGACGCGTGAGTGCAACGACGAAAAATACTTGACCCGCGGGCGATCGCCGTCGATGCATCGCCGTTCGCTCGTTCAGTGCAAGCGCAGCAACGCGCGCGTACAGCGCGTTACACCGTAGTTTCATGAATGTTTCATCGGCGATGTGTATAACTGTATATCCCTCTTGTGGATAACAACCTTTCGGTGTTCCACGCAGCGTCGCGCTACACTTAATGGAATTTACGATTTGTCACGGCGTCGTATTTCACGGCCGCAACTTTTCGTAAGAACGGCGACACTTTATTATCCCGTCCTTTACTTCATCGCGCGTTGCGGTTTCCCGTTACGGAATGACGCGCCGCGCGTTCGTCTGGAATTCTCGACGACGACGACGACAACGACGACGACGACGACGACGACAACGACGACAACGACGACGACGGCGCGCCCGTTCGCGCTTCGAAGGAGGTGCTCGGGATGTTGTCGTGCATCGACGACAGCACGCTGCGGCAAACGGATTTGCACACTGTCAATTGCGATTTCGCGCGCAAAAAACCATCGGAATTAAAAAAACTAAATGAAAGCAACTGCTCGCACGAACGTCGATTGTCCGAAACGTTTCAACAGCTTGCATTTCATCCGGCAATTTAAATTATGATACAGAAAAAAATGGGATCCTCCTGAAAAATTATTCATCCGCGGAACTCGACAATCGCTGATTTATCGCGTATTGTAACAAACACAGCCTCGGAAGCCGTAAATAATTTCAAACGCATTCGGCGTCGGAGCATTGACGGCGTGGACGAACGTTGCGGGAGGTCGGAAAAACGTGCGACGCGACACGATGTGTGAGGAGGGGGAGGGAAAGGGGGGGAATCCAAGGCCGCTAAGTCGTTTGCGAGGATGTCGCCGTGGATGCAAGAAACGGTAGCGTCTTGGCTCACCGTCGATTCCAAGCCGACACCTGCTCGACGGACTACGAAGTCGCGGCGAAGAAAAGCGGCGCGGAATGCCCGACCGGCCGCAGAAGAAACTCCCCGAGATCGTTCTTCACAATCTTCCTCATGTCTCGCCGCCGCATCGCCGGCAATTTCTTTATTCCTCCCTTCTTTCTTTCCTCCTGCGCGTCGCGCAAAAACGGCCTTTCGATCGCGAACGACGAATATGGTCGAGAAAAATCACAGCTCTTTAGTCGCAAATGAAAGAAAAGTTGAATTTTCCAGCAGCGAATAGTTGTCGAAATAAAATCAGAATCGACTGAACAACTCGACTGGAAATTTATTCCATGATCCCGGTCAGGTTTATCCCAGTCCATTATCC